GCAGCCAGGGCTAACGTTAGCCCGTCTGCAGCAGCCCTCTCTCTGCATAGCCGTGTGTGAAGGACCGTTGGCTCTGATGGAGGTTTTTTTGTTTTATTTGGCAAATTGTTCATGTTCAGTATAATGTTCAATTGCCAAGGGCCCCAAGTTCCTGGGGGCCCCATAAAACTATGTTTACATGTATGGTTAATAGAACTATTCCTTATTTCTGCACATTAATTATGTTTTTGATAAAAATCTTTCCCTAAAATGCCATCAGAACACTTATAACATTAGGTGTGTCTCAGCCCCAGTAAGTTTCCATGTCATCAGTTCTCCCTGGCAGTGGGGGGGTCCAGCCTGAACTGGTTCTGGGTCAACAGGTTTTACTCAGATTGGCTCAGAGCTGCTGAACAGATCTTTAAACCGAGAGAAAAGAAACATTTCTTAGAGCTCAGCTGGTAAAGATCAGACAAGAACAAATGTGGGTTTCCTCCTGGACCCTTTAGAAGCAGTAACTGTATTTGATTTAACAGGGAAAGGAGCAGAATTAGGGTTACGTTACCAAGACAGGACTGATCTTTGTGAGACATTCTAGAAGCTTTCTGTCTATGAAAACCTCTTTTTATTAGTTTATTTGGGTCATATTGTTGAAGTTGAAGTCAGGGTACAGCCTTGAATTATTAAGGTGCTCCTTATGATGTCCCTCCCCTGTGAGCGTGTTATTTAACAGCAACTGCTCGGCCGCTCAGCTCTCAGGTTTTCTAACCAGGACATAACAAAAAAAGAATAAAACATCTGCTCCATGTAGGGCTTGAAATGGGGTGAAATCTGGACTCTGATGAACAGCTATGCCGTTCATGTCACCTTTAATTATTTATTTGACAAAAACCAGGCCAAGCCGCAAAGATGTGTCTGTAGTTCTCCTGTTGCTTTAATAAGAAACCCCCCCTGGACCCTCGGTCCTCCTGTGGCAGGTGAGTTCGTCCATCTTTAGCCCAGGACCGCCTGACTGTAAAGATAAGATAATTAGAGTGACGTCACTTCAAAGTGTGACACCAAGTAGTTGAAGGTGGGTGGCGTCCTGGTGGTTTGGGCGTAGAGCTTGGAATCCTGAGGTTGTGAGCAGTGGCAACTGGTGGAGTTTCTCCGAGGGGGGGCTATAATCTCAAAATAGACGTACCAAAAACCAGTCAAACATATACTAAGTTATCACACCAGTATATTCATATGAATGCCAACAACAAAAAACATTCTAAAATCACTTTATAAAAACAAAACATAATTTCATCTACAGGTTTACTGTTAGCACATAAATCTTAAAAAATAATGTTCCAGTTTAATAATGGAGAAGCTATTGGTCAGCTTTATATTTTTTTTGATATATAAAAACTATTTCAGGGTTTCCGCGGGTCATTGAAAAATCATTAAA